ATCAGTAACTGAAGAGTGTCAGTGAAGACACTCCCTTCCCGAGGAATGGCTTGGTTTCACTCAGGTCTTGTCCTTGTAAGCCCGGGTCTGGTTGTCGACCTGTAATCCTCTCTCGGCCCAGCAGAGGATGGGCCTGGGGGGTCGATGGGCTCTGTTTTGCCCATTTCCATGTGGTCATGATTTTTATAGATACAAATATATTTGTGGCACTACCTAGGGATGTACAGAGGATGATAAAGTGTAAATCTGAGCTGCTGACAGTCAACTTGAACTTGGCATAGAGATGTCTCTTGAAAAGGTTTCTCCTTTAGATAAGAGAATGGCAGAGTGCGAGAAAGTCCTTCACTTAGACCTCATTGAACTTGTGTTTACAGAATGGCTGCATGTGTCCCATAATGTACTAGGTCCATCCCTCTAAGGGATTGTCCCCCCTCAGTCAAAGTTTGGGGTTTTGTGGGTAGCTGAGTCGTGTATCAGCACAGCCCTAGGAATAGCATGGAAATAAATCACATGGAACCTTTGCATTATAGGCAAGCTTAAAGCACATTTTATTTAATTTGCAGAAGCACGGTGGGGAGATTTATATGTATGGCTTTTGTGACAGCACTTAATTTTCCAAAAGGAATAATGATGAAGTGAAACAGAGACTAGAGCTATCCACCAAGGTAAATGGAGAAATAAAAGTTGCTAGAGTTGTTGCCAATTACAGGATGAACAGGGGATCTGTTTGGCAGGATCAGAATACACCGTCTGAAAGGTTCAAGCCATGAGCAGGGGAGTGAGGAGTCTTTGTCATCTTACCTGAAAACACACACTTGGATGTCCATTCATTTCTGGTCCTGTTGCCTTCAACACTTCAGAGGCCATAAGTATGTGTTCCTTTAGAAAGCAGAGGTCTCTCAGGAGCTGTCCCTTACCCCAAGCTAATGTGGTCACCACATTTGGTAATTTCACTAGGTAGGGAGATCTCTTTAATCCCAGTGACTGTCACTCAGGAGAGCAAGCTACTGAAAACCAACTGTCCTGTCCACTTCTCACCTAAAATACATACTCTCAGTAATTCAGATTTCTCTAATCAGCATGTGTGACTTCAGTAGGGTATGACCAAAACGGCAATAAAAGTGGCGTTCTAGGAAAATTAGACTTTGAACTATATCACAAAGGATTACTTTAAGAATGCTCAGAAAAACAATTGATAAGCAATTGATGAACAAATGATAAATGACTCATTGATAAAAGTGTTTCTTCCAAAGAATCACAAAGCAAATTCTTTTGACCTCAAAAATATTTGGAAGCGATAAGACTCTACTTCTTTAAAATGTATTCTATGATAACAGCTTTCTCTCCAGTATGGAGTTGGTCTGGATGGGTCAGGAGAACGCAACTTTTAACAAATGTTTGCAGAGAATTGCTAACAGCTAATTTGCTAGTACATGTACTAATGGCTGTTAATAAGGACAATTTCAGAAACCTGCATTCTACAGTTGAAATATCAAATGAGAAGCTGAAGATTTGCAATCGGAATATAGGTGAAACATTGCTGAGATGTATACTAGAAACTAGGTTGTAAAACTGAGGCAGGAAAAGAGCATTTTATAGGTAGTCCTGAATAGACAGAGGTGTATCCCATAAGTTTAATTGATGATTTTGACAGGTAGCTCAGCTTTTAAAAATTATATTTTGGGAAGATAAGATGGAGATATTTGTGACATATACAAATTTAAAAAATACCCACCACAGCGTATAGATAGGAAAACCATTTTATTGTTTAATACACATGCCATGAATTTGTTTTAATTTGGGCTGTTTTTACTTTATGTGATAAAATCTAAAAGACATTTAAAAATTTAAAATGTGAAATATTTATCAAGCAGTTAAACACAGATTTGTCAATTGTGCTACATTTCAAGTAGGTCAAACGTTAAAATAGCCAATCTGTGCATTTCCAGTTTTAGGTTAAGTTTTTTTTTTTTCTGCATAAGATTTGGTCCCAGCTCTTTGGTCCATCTAAATCCTGGAGCTCCCCAAACCTAAGAGACCAAGAGACCATCCGTATCTTTTGTTCTTACTGCTCTGTTCTTGACGTGATAGGTTAAGTACATAAAGTAGGTTAAGGTGTTAGGAAAATAACTTCTTGAAGTTTGTTGGCCCATCTTTCCATTCTGACTTATGCTTATTACATTTTTTAAAAATTCCGGAGTAGTAGGTTAAATTTGGAAAGTCCAAACTAAACCTCTGAACTCCAATAAGTAATGCTGGAGGATTAAGAGGTTTACTCCCTTTGGTGGGAGGGGAGCTAGAGAGGTGCTATTTTGGGGGGGAGGTCAAAGGTATCTGGATGTGGGTGACTATTCACGGTCTTCCTTGAGTGTTTGATTAGCAGTTTTGAATATTTATTTTTATGTCACTGCTACAAACATGGCTATCTCAGTCCTTTGACTGGATGAGACACTTCCTCCAGCTCGTCCATCTGACAGGCTGAGTAGTAATGCCCAGTGTGGTGATTTGCTGCTGGAATGGTGGTGTCTGGGAACAAAATTAATAAAGACAGTCTTGCCAGATATCTGATGTGGTCCTGTGAAGTCCTCTAAGATTTGTGAAGAATACTTTATAGGCATGGAAGGCATTTGTAATACCATGGTTGTTGATGAAACGTGCTGATACATAGCCAGTGGACGACAGGGATGTTTTCTCAGAAGCTCGCCATCTTTCCTCGGAAGCACCTTCAAGTGGAGATGATGAAAAGCAGGTTTGCTTCACAGTCTTGTGTTACACTGACCAGCCTTCAGTCCCGTGGCCACTAGGAGGACACAGAGCCACGTGCCACCAGGCATGAAAAGAAAGTCTGCAGGTGATGGACACAGGGACTCATTACCTGGTTTACAACAACTTGACAGCTGGCTGGATAATCTTTTACCATACATCCATCCATCGCTGTTGGAATACGTCTGTAAATAACACCATATATAGTGAATGCACTTACTGAATGATTAAACCGATGCTGTGAGTGTGAAATGACCAAAGTCACTTTTGTTTTCTCTTCATATTTTTCATGCTCTAGTTTCCCTTCCCCTTTAAGTGTTTTCCCATCTGACCGTGCCTGGAAAGTGGAATTGTTCTGATGATCTAAGCTTTTTTGTTCCTTAGCGTATTAAATTAGTAGAAACGTTT